GAAGTGTAGCGTTGCAATTTGGTCCGCACGAGATAAAACAATAATGAAATTAAACATGGTGGCTAAGATGAAGATCATGTATCGATGCAGCTGTGCCACTGCAGTTCAGTCTTAGTCATATCACCTAGACTCTCCAACTACTGGTTTCTGCTGTCACATGGAATCCAACTACGTAGTCAATATTCGCCTATACGCCTCAAACAAACAACCGAAGACTTCAATGCTACGATGCCCAGATTTAGTTAGACCACTTCTAACATCATCCAGCCAAAACCTACCTCAATATACATTGGGTGACGGTTCAGACGGTGACCATGTATGTGCAACACAACATGCCACAGCTGTCTGAGTCGATAAGTGTTTCAAACTTGGTCAGGTGATTTGCTCTTTCTAACCTAAACTATACTCCTAACTTCTGCGTTACTGAAGTGGTGACGCAGCCTGTGCTGCGAAGCCAACGGCGGTCGAACACATGAAGCCTTCCTATGTCTATCTTTAATGGCTGTGTTTCACGGAAAAAGAGTAGGAGAGAGTGGAGTGTATACTGCAATAAACTCAACCCTTAATAGGGAGTCGGATATCAAGGCGGCAACATAAATGGTATAAGCTGATGAAGGCCGAACAAGTCATTTGTACGTGTGTGATTCCGTAGGTCATTTGTCTACCAGGGCCGACCCGACGTCTCAGGTAAATCAACACGTCCAATCACCTCAATCCTTCCTTATCCTTGAACAAGGCACGACAGAAGACCAGTCGTGGAGCAACAATTTCCATTTGGGTGGCGACAAACGCAACCGAAACATTCTACAATTTCAACTTAAGGCGTTCAGTAGAGTGTATCTTGTCAGCGTCTTCACCCAGTAGGACTATGCTATTTGCATGTTCTAGATGTATACCATAGATTTTTCCATGACAGGACGATTATCCGTAGGCGGTACCGCGGCATGCGCAACACGCATCCAGGCTGTCTTGGTCGGCAACTGTTCACAACCTTTTTGACCAACTTTCCTTTCTTACCTTTAGAAAAACATGGGCATTGCTTATATGGTGATTTCACCATATGCGAGCCATCCTGCTAACACATGTGTTCCTAAACATGTAACCTTTGATACCTTTTACTCTCAACAACCATGTTTCAAAGCCATACAACAGGACAAAGCAGACTGCAGTGCAGGATACGAATCCTTTAACAAATAGACGGACATCTCTCCAGTTAGTGCCACAGATGACAGTTCGAAAATGCCAGTTGTGTCCCAGCTGAGATTTCGTCACCAGCCAGCCCGTTTGCGCTTATGCAATCCTCCATCTCCCGCCAATTAAGTGAAGCGGTCAACACACTCAAACATTTCACTTCCTAACATTCAACAGGGAGTAGTTAATGACCATTCCTGGGGCTCAATATAACATTTAACAGGTGCGAAATGCATGCCGAGCATACTCAGACATCTGCTCAATGCGTTCACAAGACCCTGAGTCTTGACTAGGTAGGACAATATCGTCTGAGTAGTTCAAATCGACCACAAACCTTTAAGAGAATAGATCGCTGGAGAGTCAGACATACCTAGGGTTATGTCCATAAATACACCTATAACGAAGCTTAAGCGGAAACGATGATACCGGGCATTCTCGACGGACACCACTACTTGTCGTCAATTCTGGTGGCAATTCTCCATAAACCCTTTTACGCCTGCGTAAGTTCGAGTAGAGAGCTTTGGTTAATGCGATAAACCTGATGGATACTCCTTTCACAGTCAGAAACTGCCTCAACACCCCATGGCAAAATGAGATCCTCAGGTCGAGAAATATGGCAAGTGTAAGTGACTAATGGCATGATCACCACCCTTAAATCCCCTCCTCTACTAGTTTGTTTAGCCCTGTTACAATTCCTGGCTTTAGGCTACTTACCCCCTCAAATTCAACGGAAGTTGGAGTGCAGTGTTCCATGAGGGATTCGGGTGGATAACGGACAACCGAATGGAGCTGGAGGCCAGTAGTAATGTTCTACTGGTCGTGTCATCCTCCACGTGACTGAATAGCATACCAACCCTTTTCTGCCCCAAAATCACTAAACACTGACTTTCTCATTCCAGTTCCCTTGATCAGTTTACCTGTCTTTCCATTTCTCTAGACTTCGCTACCTACTATTGCTTGTAGTCGCTACATGAACTTCTTGTCAGTAAACGTTTCAGTTGCTTCGACCACTCAGTGTACTAAGAGCCTGCAGGAAAGATTTCATACATCTACTAATTGAGAAGCTCTTAAGACCCACTGACCCTTTCTAACTTTTTTCTGACTGTCACACAGTCTTCATTGCTGATTTTACAGCAGACTAGAGATTGCCTCAAGTTTCTTTCAGACGAAAGAAGTAGGTGTGTTTCAATAACTATTTAGCAGATTTTTCGTAGAAAGGAGCTTTAGTATTCTTACTACCAAGTTGTTTTGTTGCTGTAGCTTTTCAAAGTATTGTTGCCGTCCAAACATATGTTTCAGGAGTGTTAATCGTTCACTGACGCTCTACAGAGACGACAGTATGGTCTATCTGTTCACCATTGAGCTGAAATCGATGGACGCCACGTAAGACAGTATCTCTCTTTGTCTGCAGCCCGTTGTGGCCAGGAGTAGAAAGTTATCTGTTACCCGTTCGTCCGCTTGAGATTCCGAAAGTGCCATCTTTCTGTTTGGCATAGTTTTCCTATTTCGGCATTGATATAATCTTCGACAACAATCATTTCTTGTACATTTGCTCTAAGTAGGAGGTCAGGGAGTTTCCAAAACTCCTTTTTTGATTTTGTGTTAACTGTAGTCACTGGGGGCGTAAGCAGCGACCGAAGAGAAGCAACGGAGAGTTTCACTAACACTTTAAGCTATTACTGCACCACTGAGTGAAACTGTGCACAAGAAGACTACCAACTACGCCCAGAAACTGAAAAGAATTTCGCGGATTCACCGAATTGGTAGGATGAGGTTAAGTAAATAACTACACTTCGCTATTGTATGCATGTCTTACAAACACAGCACACATTCATAGGTCGAGATGCCAGAGTAACGGTTAGCTAATCTGTTTGCCAATTTGACGAGTGTGAACACTGAAAGCCTTAGTATACGGTTTGAAGGGTAGTCCCAGCAGACAAGGGATGGTGTTCCGTGAACTAAAGTCCTTATAGAAAGCTGCAAACTTAGAACAAACTAAAAATGACGTACCAATGTTGACCGAAAAACGTGAAGAGTGGAAGGCAAGGATACGGAAGGTTGATACTGATCTGAAGAAACTTTAATGCTGAGTTGTGAAGGCGGTTAACAGCTATTGGCTTTCCACACCGTAGGTTATTTTTTCTTGAGGTAATTGGAAAAACCGGCTTAGTAGATATGATGTGTGACCGCAGAACATAAAGGAAACAAGCTTGAAACTAGTCACACATAACCTTTTTGGAAGTTTGATATTTAGCTTCAAGTGACAATCAAGCTGGAAAAACCATACGAGCGACACCAGAATACCACACGGCAGTGGGGAATATTTTATCCTGTGGGATAACTTTTTCAGTCGGGAATACCTTTACGGCGAATTATTAATACTTTCATACTGGTGAATAACAAAATTGGTCAAGAATCAGTTCAAATCGACTGCATCATTATTACAGAACTAAAGACAGGACATGAATTACGTACTAGGCTGAGCTATAAATACCGTGACATGATACTACCCAGCTGCTTAGGCTAAAGTAAGTGGAATGGAACTTGAACATCGGACTTGTTGCTTAGAAGCTGAACGCTCGAGCCAACCAGTTACATCACCACCCTTCAAGCCTTGACGTAAATTAAACTTTTATAAATCTGAGTGTTTCAAATTAATTAATCTCAGGGTTTTGGTGACCAATTTGACCTATACTTCTTTTAAAGAAACGGGAAAGGCATCGCACTGGACCACAGAATGAAACACCTGGATTATTTTATCTTTGACAATTAAATTTACAAAAATATAATTTGCACCGAATTTCTGCTTTTTGCTTGACGTTTAACACTTGTCAAAGTATTCGATTAAATCTTGACCAGAGTTCGCACAAATGACTTTATTTCAGTTTGTTAAACTGAGTTCCCTTAGAAAATGGAATTCTGCTCCCGATACACCACATCAAAGCACAATTGAACAAGTTTCCTTGCACCAAATAGTGGGTGGAATTTCGTCTGTAAGTATAACAGAACCGTAATAAACTGCAATTTGTAATCTTTCTGTAAGTTGTTAAGAAAAATATTACAACTAAGCTTCTGTAACATCACGCTAGTATATATATCAATAAGGTTCATTGTATCATTTATACAGCAATGGGAAATAACTAGGTTATAAATGTCAACATTTATTCGCAGCCTCATGAGTAGTTGACCAATTAACTGTAGAGTGTCACTTACTGCGCTAGGCACTCGACTTCTAACCAGTGGGCCACAATTTAGAACCATGCCCGCCTACCGAGGTTTGGATAGCCAGGTAGTATCGTTAACCCTTACATAATAGATAAAGCTCATTGTCTGCTGAACAGACGTGCACAATGCTGTTGAGTGGATTTCGACTCCTCGAATCGAACTATAGATTTAACATCCCGGTAACCAGTCATTTATTATTTCTCAAGTAACAACTTCAAAAGCTAAATCCTGCGTTAGACGTGTTTGATGGTCTGTGCCACTGCTCATATTATCAGAAGTGGTATTGTCGTTTTAATCATACATAACCAACAAACACACACTTCGTACCTATCATATATCATATACTTTATATTTCTTTTGACTGCATTCACTTATCTTCATCCTTCACCTCACTACCTTTCTACTTGATGAGCTGACGTGAGGTGTGGCAACTCGGACCGTTACGCAGTAATGCCTGGTCCTATGTTGATAATGACGATGATGATGATACGAGGAAACATAATCTTAATTTTAATAGCACAACTATAAAAATAGAAATCTTATAGTTAGTCAACAACCTGTCACAATCAAAAAGGGCATCTTACCTTTCTAAGTTCTAACATACTTCGATGAAATGACGATCTACTATCCTGCAATGCAGACGAAAGTCTCTGGCTGGAAACGGTGTGGGAAGTTCGTGAGGCGGAATTGGCAGACACTGATATATTTGTGCTGTCAGACGCTCGAACATCGTAGGCATTATATGTGTGACAACTGCTTGCGGGCTAGAAAGGAGAAAACGAAGTGTTCAAATATTGTCAATGACTACCTGAAATATTTTCGAAAATAAAACCATTATTTTGGGTCATAAAACAAATAAAACAACCCATTAGAAAGTTCACGCACAGCTCAATACGCTAACAGCCATGAGTAACATAAGCTATGTGAAGGGGAATGACAGTAAATGGCCACTAAAGTTCAGACAGATTAAGTGGGATCTCAAAAACACAGATGCATATTTGATTATATTTACACCATAGCTTTTAGTTTTGAAAATAGTTGTTACTGTTACATTAACAAACTAGAAGAAATAGTCACTGAATTAAAATCACTCAGCAACCATATGCACTTTCGTATAGTAAACGATTATTTATACTTATTGTGTGAGGGCTTATAAAACTACCTGATCGCCTAGACCTAGGTAGGTGGATAGGGTTTACAACCCCTGACCCATAGGTCGAGAGTCAAGCGCCTAGATCAATGGTCACAAATCTGGAAGAACTAGTAGTAAATGTTGTCTTGATGCAACTCTTACACATTCTGAACCAAATACGCTCTGCAATTTCTACACACTTCTATGAGAATATCTATACTATGTGTGCAACAAACTTTATAGGAAGTGGATGTAGATCTCAGATGGTATGACATGACCATGTTACAACATTACGTTAATAAAATTGCATTCGAGACAACTTTTTAGTTTTGACAATGGGTACTTGTATCTAGAAAGACATTAACTTGACATATCTAGAGGCTATTTAAACGCTACTAGCACACAAAGTATTTTGAGAAACCAATAATGACACACCCAACCGCTAGCTAGACAAGGAACTCGGATCTAATATCAACCATTTCTAAAGAATATGTTGACGCAAAGGATATTTACGTTTACCGAAAAAATTGTCACAAAGTAACTCACAGTGACTTGCTCTGCACCTACTGTTGGTTGATTCGTCAAATTCTGGCAGGAAATCGGCGAACTGACTGTTTCTTCAAGGATGCAAGTATCTACAGCAGAAGCGATAGTTGTTGGTGGACGCTGTCGATCGCATACGACTGGACTTGTAACTGGACTGAGAGGACATGATGCAACAGTGTTAGCGATGCCATCGGTGCAATCATGATGATGGTGATGGTGATGAACATGGTGAAAATGGTGTATGTGATGGACATGATGAATTTGACCATTCTTATCGATTATTGTAGTTGCGCGCGCTCCGAAATCCATATCTTCTGTGCATGTGAGGACATTGTTGTTAGGATCGATAGGAATTTCACAAGAAACTCGAGAAGCAACTGGATTAGCTGTATCACGGTTGAGATCACCTGTTCGTTCCGTAGCTAGCAGTACGTTGTCAGCAGCTAGCTGATGCACCCTCTTAGTTAATTTAGAGATAGTGACTTCTGCAGTACTCTGTTCTCGCTCATTATTAGTAGGTTTTGACGTACTTGTGCAATTTGGACTACTTAAATAACATCTACGTGTTTTATGGATTAAACAGCTGCAAACAGGAACTTTTGTGGTTGAATGGCTGCCCATATATGGAAGACATTCTCTGGTAGAATCGCGGGACTATTGTTGATAAGTAAAGACATTGAAAAATTGATAGTTAGCTGAGTAAAATCCAGCTTAATTAATAGAGTGACAGATAATGCAGTCGTTATAAATGTGAAAACCTGGGCAGTAAGGTCGAACGTAATTTTGCATTAGTTTTGTTCATTTGATATACCTTAAAATGATACAGTATTATTCCCTTCGTGTTGGTGATCCAAGGATAAATTGCTGCTTACAATCACACAACTTTCATCATCTGCTTTTTATAGTTCCATGCCCTAATAACCTTTGTTTATAGTGGTAATAAATCTTCCCGCACCGGTATAGGTGTTGCATCATTTCCATTATATGTACCGGGTACTGACTGGATGGACAAGGATTCGTGGATCAGTCTCTCGACTTAAATATAATGGACTTAAGCACAGTCGCTTTAACCCACTCTATTTTATGGTTGTTAATGCATGCATTGCAATAGGCAAGTTTTTTCTAGATTATAGATCTCAGAGGAGTCTGTCATTCTACACAGTTAATATGTAATATTTTAGATATCTCAAGGAAGAGTGGCTTACAAAATGATTCAGAAATCTACGCATGACCACTGTTTCACGCTTAGTATTTCCAACAGCCTACTCAAACATGGGAAATTGAGTAGTATCGTTCCTTGCCGACTGAGCCTGAGATCGCCAACTGCAATCAAACTAGCTTCTAACCAACAGAATATGATATGCCAGATTTCAAAAGGAATAGAAAGTAAACGTAGTCAATACGTTTTGAAAGTACAAAATGACCATTTACGTTGAGTCTAATTCATTCGTAACCCGGCACTACGTAGAACGATAAGAAAAACGGGTGGGCTTTTTACTCTACCTAGTTTTTTCTTCCAGAATGTCTTTAAACAAGTGCAGCCAGTTAAGTTACTCAATATCAACACGGTCCTAGTTTCCACAAATTAACCAAATGAGTGTAAACCTATGTGGAGTTTTATACTTAGCTATGAGCTATAACTTTTGCAGCAGCTAATAAAGTTACATGGATAACAAAACCTTAATGTATAGAGACAGATTCAGGTAAACATGGCATCCAGCAATCAAATCTTAGGAGCATACTTGTCTTCAAACACCTGAACTTTAAAGTTGGAAGTCAATCAACTTAAAATCAGTGATATTAACATACATGAGCTCATTCACAAGTTATGTTTATTGAACCGAGGATGACTATGGGAAAACAAACAGAGCAATTAGGCAAACTTTACAGCGTACTAATGAGGATTTAATAGATATATACAAATAGCAGAAAAGTGAACGTTAAAATCGACATTTAACAACATTCTCAACATCTACGTGATGACAGCGCAGATAAGTTTGAGCTGTAGCGATTTATTTTAATTCCTAGTGTTTTAAATCTTCAAACATTGTTAGTGATTAATATAATTGGTTGTATTATACTGCGGTTGATTAAACCCAATTGATCGGTCTCTATTGGCATATGGGCTCCCGTGCGAATCCTTCGATATTGCCTGTTTTAATTATAGATAGTAATGATAGACAGTGGAATCCAGGATGCTCACATTGTCCTATTTGGGACTCGTCAGCTGGATATACCTGCTTCCCAGCAAGTGTTGTTCCCACCGGGATTCGGACTCAGCAGCGGTCGCTTCAAACGTCACAGCGTTATCCACTACACCACCGAGCCACGATAGCCACTCGTGGTGCAGTGGATAACGCTCTGGCGTTTGGAACGATAGCTCCTGAGTCCAAATCCCGGCGGGGACAACACTCGTTGGGAAGCAGGTATATCCAGCTGACGAGTCCTAAATAGGACGAAATACGCACTCTGGATTTCACTGCTAGCCACTATCTATCACTACTGCTGTTAGTGATTGTCTAATGGATGCTGCAATTTCGACTACGGCGCATTAGAGCAAGGGTTTGAACCGCGCTCCACCAACCGAGGTTTGGGCAGCCAAGTGGTACACTTATCCCTTACACAGTGTGGCTTATTGCCTACTGCATGAATGTGCACAACGTGGCTGGGTGCATTTATTATATTTATAGAGCAAGGTCTAATGTCAATAATGACCGACTGACTGCCTAATAGATCCCAACTCAAAGGTTTATATAGCTCATATCAGTCAGGCAGTCCAATAAAGTATTTATACTTGACAATTTAGCCGATCTCAGCTATACAACTGTTAGACTAAAGTGAGTCTCAAAAATTAACGATTTGTTCCAGTCTTCCTTTCCATCTACTGCTGAGATGTGCATCATGTTGGATCTGTAAAAGATGCGTAGCCACCTAGTTTAGTTCAGTCGGTCAAGAAATGTCAATGCTATCATAAGAAATAATGAACTGTAAAATCATTGAATACGTCTCACTAACTGCACATTTCAAACTCAGACCAAAACACACGAAATAAAATATTCGTACACGGAAAGACAGGAAACGACAACCTTAAACAAAGTGAGTACTTAAAACACAACTAGCAACATTATAACCACCAAACCCACGAATACCTGTCAGCGATACTTTTTCTAGCTGGTAAAATGAGTTTATGTTGTACTTTTGAAGAAAATCGTATTCGATAGGCTCACACTATAAAAAGCAATCCACACAGCCAAATTAGTTGTTGAACCACACTTCTAAACACCATCTATTTCCTGAGTCAGTGAGTAGCACGGCAGGCTACAAGTAGGTCAGCCAAGAACAAAATCCTCTATTCGAATAACACCAAGGTGTGAAACAGCAAGAAATTTGTTTCGTTCGTTTTATAGTTGTCCAGCATAGAAACACCAACAACACTGCAATCACAGGCAAGCTTACTCGCGAAGGGGCACTACACTCATCATGATGGTAGATGACACCATTTGGCTGTCCAAACATGTACGGATTAAAAGATAGAACCCACTTATTGAATATTAAATACCTAAGCCAGTAAGTTAGTGTGCCACGGACACCAACTTTGATAAAAACTTTGTGTGGTAGAGTAACTATACTGAAAATAAAGTAGATCCAGAAAAACACTCAAGAATGACTTGGTCAAAATAATAAGTATTCAGACCTCCTACTGAATCTGCTTTGCAAATCTGTCTTAACACTGGGAGAAAAAATTTGTAAAGGTGGAAGATGCGCGTAAGTAGAAATATTTTGTCACAAACACCTTAATCTTTAAAAAACAAAATATTTTAATAGCAACAGTATTTTCTTTTCGCATAAGAGAAAATGATACACTTTAAATGACCACTCTAAAATTGAAACTTACGTTTACTTGACTGGGAACATAAGGTGGACATGCGCACATCATAGCGAGAGCTGACTCTGGTCTTTTGTGACTTATACACACATTCGAAGGCTTTGGGGTTTCATATCTGGTTTGACTACCTCCTAGGGCTTTGGATACATTGATCGGTTTCGCCCGACCATTGGATGGGCACATACTATCAAGGCGTTCAAAGTGTCTCTTAGTTGCATCTGGACTAATTACAGCATTACATCTCGTAATGGAGTTGCGACTATTCGTCGATCTAGGTGGGAGGGAATGATGGTTGACCGGCGAGTTTAAAGTTGAACTAGACTCATAACCATTTGGATTACTTGAAGTTGTCTTATTGCCTTCAACACATGGACTGTTGTAGCTAAACGAACGTTTGTGACGCAAAGAAAGACTGCGTATTGCCTTTTGATTGTAAGGATCTTTTTTCCATTCACGCTCTTTTCTTTGAATTAACGCTTTTACACGCCCACTTAATTTTTCCTCCGTAGAACTAGATGCACATTTTGAAACTGACATCATATCATTTGGTGGATGATGAAAATGTGCTCGCGTAGGTTTGGAACTCTTAGGAGTAAGAAATATGCGCTGAAACGTATCAGATATCCATTGCAAGCTTCCGCATCCAGTTTTGTTTACATTCCCCAGATCTCGATAGCGAGGGATCCTCCGGTTTACAAAATGATCTGGAATTAGATTTAATCCTCGGTAATCCGGGGAGAAGCACCTTGTATGAGAAACGTAGTCCGAGTCTATCTTAGTCCCTAAGGAACTAGGACCCCATGCATTTGAAGCGCAAGTGCAGCTTGAAGTGGGAAGATCGGAAGTTGAGTTAGAATCTCTTACCGGTTCACAAAAATCGGGTGTTCGACGTTTTGAAGTCATTTGGCAAGGGTGCCTTTTTGTAAATCGCTTGCATGTGACTGATTGCGTAATCTTTGGATCAGGAATATTTTTACTAACTAGAAGAACACAGGAGCGACTACTCTCAAGATTATGTTTGCACACGGCACAATTTTCTGCGACATCACTGCGGCGAGAGGCGCTGTGGAAACTTTGTACGTTAATCGCGGAATCACACTTAGAGCATCTGCTTCTTACTGTTCGAACTAGACGGGATGTGTGCTTTGGTGGAAGGGGGGGTATGTCCTTTGTGGGTTTCGGAGGTATGGGAGGTGGGTGCTCTATCCCTGAGTCCACCGTGGAACTTGACTGACAGGCCAAAAACATCCTCCTCTGAAGTATGTCGCATGAGAGCACTGACTGCTCATCATACATCAGCTTGACGAAAAACAAATACAGTCTGAAATGCAAATCCCACTCTAGCGCACATCAGGAAGTAACGCATGGCACAAAGCGCGCGCTGGAATTCCAATGTCCAACGTCTATTTCATTAGCTTGTACAAACCAGTTGATATCTACGAACTTGCTTCAGGGACTTCGGAATGATAGCAAATGTTTTTCAGACTCCAGTTTAACAGAAAATGCCACTCACTTGCATTGACTATCATTACTTCAGTGAGTAGTTAAATGTTTAAAATTGTGGAAAGATATATGATTTTCCCTAGAACTATGGTACAGATAACATCCTCGAGTGTCGTAACACGGGACGCTTATCTAAGTTGGTTGTTACTGTAAGATAAGTGGGTTCAGGATTCATTCAAGGATGGTGGACGAGTGAGAAGGATGAGTCGAAAATAGAAGCGATGACATGTGAATTTGGAGGAATGAAGTGACAAATCAAAGATGTGGGGAATTTGGGTGGATGACGTTGAGAGAGGTGCAGAGGAGCAGGGAGAACTACAATGGTCTTGGCTGAAACAGATGTAGTAATCAGAGTGATAAAGAGACAACAGCTGTGGAGGTGAGACGTCCAACTGATGTGTCGACGTTTGAACCGTGTCTATGACGAAAATTTCGGAAATTATTGGACTGATATGACCGGTTATTTACCATGAAGCAGTTTGTCTCTAACTAGATGAGTGCAATTCATATATAACCGAGCAGCTGTACAAAAGTTACTTGAAGCTCTTGGTTTATAGAGCGTTTCTTACTTCGACAGGTTAACGCATCATATTTTGTGGTTCGATTATTTTTCGCATGATATTTTTCTTGCCCTAACCTATCAGATTTTTAAATCTTTTAGTTTCTGAACTTCTCGAAAGGAGCTGATCTTGCCTTATCTGATGATTCTGCTGTTTGCTATCTTCAAAAGTTTCCATTTCGGTTGTACAGTCTTATTCTTGGTAATCCTGTGAATTTCTTCTTTGGGACGAAGTAAGGATATGAGTTCCTGATGAAAGCATCAGATGAAGCAAGATCAGCTACTTTGGAGAAATTTGGAAACAGTTTAATCGAAAATTTCAGCAAGTTTACTCAAGAAATATATCCCTCGGAAAGTAATGGGATTAAAAATGAAGAGTCATCAAACATTGATAGGACACAGTGAGTAGTCATTCTCTCCCCGAGAGTCTTAAGCTCAACCGAAACGGAAGTGCTTGTAAAAGGACCAAGCATTGGCGTCGAAATAGGTCACCAAAAACCCGACGACGTCATACCTAGCACAGAATTATCATTGAAGCCCGTGGATGGGACAACCAGTGAATGGGTTGGGGTAAGGTGCATTAGAACTGAAGAAAGAAAAGAAAGGGTAACGAGGTTGAAAATTCAACTCTGAGTGATATGGGAAATGACAACAGTAGTTGCTAATTGTGAACAACGTAATTCAATAGCAGATAACGACAAAATGGTTTTTTCAGCGAAATAAAAGCATATATCTGCGGAGACTGCACGAAATTGTGCACAAACACCCTAACTTAAAATAATGTTTCCTTTTTATTCTTTCTTATATATTTCGTACACTCCTCCCAATACTTGTAAAGATGAATATTGTCTACCTGTACAATTTAAAAAACTGGAATTTTGGCTGTGGCAGCATCAGTTTTCTGCTTTCAAACCTGGAAATGTGGTGCACTTCTACCCACTCCAACTTCGGTCTAGGCTAACCACTGTCTGACTCTTTAGATTTTGCAGGACCTCCCAACCTACTCTCAAATATCACGACAGTCAGCCCAGTCAACTTCGACCCTAGAGCACAAACAAGTATCGCCTTCCGAAGTAGCATGGGGGTACACTAAATTATGGTGGGCAACACCGTTGAGAGCATTCAAGTAACCAGTTGTTACCCATAGCAGTGATATTGCTATTCTGTATTAAGAAGCATAACTTTCCATGTTTGCGTATCATTCAATTTATTTCCGTTATTATGCTTAGCTCAATGTTTTGGTTCACTTGACAGTTCTTTGGGTTCAATACATGTCCAAACAGGACCATGTGAACAGACCAACAATCCCCTCGACTCTAAAGCCATCTCTAGGTGAGCCTAAGTGGTTTAATTAAATGCCCGAAACCAATAATCCTTGCAGAATGTGTGGTGCTATTAAGGTTCATATCCCAAGTTATATCGTGATAACCATAGTCGATTCCAGATATGCCCGGTCATATTAACTATCAAAGTATTCAACATCATTGTTGTTTCCCATTAGGAACATTTCAAATTCCAGACTGGCAAACTCTTTTGATTTTAAAATGAGACTTAATGGCCTATATATATAAAAGTGGATGAAGGAAAAGGTCAGTTTCGGTGTGACAAGTCTTTATGTTGAAGTGCCAATCAATGCGGCATTGGGGGAAGTCGGAAATCCACTGAATATTGACTCGTAGCTTGGTCACAGAACTAAGATATCGGCTGGTGGGATCAAACTAGGCGTGCAGTTGTGCCTAACGTCCAGCCGTCGAGTTTCAGGACAAAATATGTAGTTAAACAGAAGGAGTGGCAGTGGGATCACCAATATCCCAATCTTAGGGGGCATATTTACGGAAAGCTTGGACGATATGGCTGTAAAGAAGTTTAATTCTGCATCCGAATATGGTGGTAGCTTGTGGACGACACAGTTAATATGTTGAATGTAGAACATGTTGACGGTTTCCTGACACATACAGACTTAGTAGTAGGCTCAATCCAACTCACTTACGAGGCATAAACTGAACAAGGAGAATTACCTATGTTAGAGTGAAGGATGAAGCGAAGGACCGGCGGCTGTTAAGATCCTACTATCTGCAAGAAACCGACACATTCTAACAAGTATACAGATTTCGAGTTTCCTCATCCAGTGTCAGACAATGAAGGTTTGGTCAAATGTCTAAATGGTGAGGCTGGAAAACTGACTGGTTGGTGGAAGGACCTGAGCGTGGAACTGAAGCACATAAAAAAGCGTTGATAATTAATAATCGTCCTCCATGATTGATTTGGAAATTCGCACGAACACACAAGAAACGAAATAATAACAGCATCATGAGTACGAATAGTAGCGCCAGCACGAACAGAATGGAATTCACAGCCCCTATTATGTTGCCTTATAACGAAGGAATATCAAGAACTTTACGCAGGATCCCCAAGGAAGCCGGAATTAGAGTGGCATTTAAGCCTGCAAACTCACTCTGAGATAAGTTTGGTGGGCTTAGAGATCCAACAGAACTAATTTAGCAAAATAATCTAGTCTATCAAATTCCATGCAATGGTTGTAACTCCAAGTGCATAGGTCACACCCTGCGGTCGGTATGAGTTAGATTGGCGGAGCCAAATATAGAACGCAGGCCCTTATAAAACAGATAATCTAGAAAAACTTGATTATTGCAATGCATGCATTGACACAGCCACATAGTCAGGTAGGATAAAACCACCGTACTTAAGTCCTAAATAACTAGTCGAAGGGAGAGATCGATCACTTAGTGTTTGTTTATCGAATCGGCACCCAACAGAGGTGACACAAATGACGCGACATAAATGCAAGGTATGTGGAAATTTCTGCCATCATTGGAGTCAAACCACATGAGGTGAAATAACTACTAAAGTCAGGCGTCGTAAGCAGTATGACACCACTGACATGACGAAGGGCGATAGTTTGTGTTCGAAACGTCATCAAGTAAGTAATACTTGGTCACTGTGTGTTGTATATCCATCGAACAAATCTAATATGGAACAAACTTCCTCTCTGCTTTTTTGAGGGTGTGGTCAACTTCACTCTCAGCTACTTATTTGTACGTGGATTAATCCTTCACTACAGCATGTGTAGTTCCGTCCCTGGGTTCCCCGGCCACAATGTGCCACATGAAGATCCTTTTCACTCACCTTAAAGTGGCCAGCGGCCTGTAGCGGGTTCATGGGGCACTGATAGAGAGTATACCAGAACTATACACTTGATTGATGAATCATAGAAGCAAAACAATGGCCTGAAGGGTTCTTGTCACACTGACGGCGTGCCCACTCCTTTCAAAATCTGCACTCGGATACTGTTACTTTCGGTCCCAGTGAGGCTACGCGCATGAAAGTCATCATCTCGTCGCCGAGCCATGCCAAGACGCTTCCCTGACCCTTTCTTCCTAGATGTGCTGAAAACTATGTTTTTGCTGACCGAGGGCGGGGGTGTTAACATTGTTTTGAGCACTAAAAACTTGAATGTTCCAGAGCATCAGAACCCCCCAATGTTTCACCAGGCCTGACCAAGATGATAAACAAGAATTGTTTGAAATTTTCATGCCGCTTAGCTGCGGCCGTAGTTACTACGGCGCAAAGAGTGGTCAGTGACTGCCGCTAGGCTACACTGAGGAGCTCTTATTGGCAGGACTCAAAAAGGATACTATTACCGCACGTATTCACAGCTAACCATCAAAGCCATTAGGGTAGCAAAAATGAAGATAAAATAAGACATGCAATAGTTCGCCTACCCTAACTTCGGTTGTCTGGTTATGCAACTCATATCGGTTCTAACGGTTGCCTCAAGTCCTAAGTGCATGTGAGCAGTGAATATAGCGCCGTAAATGCCACCGACCAAGGTAGTCTGAACTGCTGAGCAGCTCTTCCACTGGAGAATGATGGTAGCGACCGGTAAGGGGTCACACGTTCATCTAACTGATTCTTGTAAAATTGTCTGATTGGAGAAGCACCCTGGGACTTGGCCTTAATTTTGGATTTCCAGAGTAGAAATAAAACGACATAGGGCATGTAGTACTCACTGAGCGTTTGGAAATTTTTGTTGTGATCAACAGTACAGGATCCAGTCTCTTCAGTTGATGAGAAAGAGGGCCCAGTGTCAGGTGGTGAACTCTAGGCAGTATGAATTCGCTTACTACTACCGTTTTGCCCCTCACCGGAAAACACTTGGAGGTCCGCTAAGCCAACGGGAATAAGAGTGGCAAGCCAGTGTCAGTTCTTGCAATGGGTATCACCCTGCGGCTCTAAGTTTCAGGAATATCAGGATAACGTGCAGATGCTGTGACCCCTGACAGAGGGTTCCATCGTGACTGACCATTA